TTAGTAGTTGGACATTTTGAAAATACACATTCACTTTTTTTGCTGTGAGTTAGGCTAGATTTCTGTTATATGATATATTATATAAAAAAAAAATGTAAAAAGGAAGTTTCAGTTTTGCTGGGGGTTAAGTCTTGCCACAAAGTCACTGCTCCTGGCCAAGAAAATAATCCCACATAAAACCGCAACTTTTGTTCACACTTTTGTATGACTTGAACAGGTTAGATATAATGTATTAATTTGTGAGTTTAAGAGGTGCGGGTAGTAGGATTTTATTACCAGTGGACACAGCCAAGCTAGCAGTCTTTCTGCTAAGCTAAGCTAACCAGCTGTAACTTTATATTTAGGAAGGAATCAAGGAAATGTATTTATCAGTATAAAACACAAGGTTGTAAAACAAAATAGAGGGTTGTAGTTCCTTCATGCTACACACATATAAAAAGATAATAAAATTCATAGAATAAAATATGAAATGAAATAAAATAAATCAATATATACAGTTATTCATATACATATAAACATACACGTAATCAACCAGGAAATCATTTTGCAGTGCATTTTTTGAATTTGCGTCTTGGGGAATTTAAACAGCAACAACAAGATTGTATAGATAATATGGCTTCATCTTCACATAAAAAGAAACAGTGTCCATCCACTTTGACTGTGTTTGAGCACCAAGCATCATCGATGTAAACGCAAGGTCCATCTCCTGTTGGCTCCGAACACGGTCTGCTCATCCAGTGGTTGATCGCAGCATTTGAACGCGCAGTCGTTGCCATAGTCAAAATCTCCTGAATCCGGTCGATTTGAACAATTTTGGCTTCGCCCTTAAAAATCCAACCCCATCAGACATCATTCACTGGTGTTTCAGCAATAAAGCTGAAAAAAACACATATTAAAACAAAAATGTAGCAGGTTTCGAAGGAGCTACCGGCCGCTGTATCTACACATGCAGCCGTTGCCATAGTGATCGATAGTAATTCCTGGATATCTTTGAATTAGCTGCTTGTTGAAATTTCTTTTGTTGTTTTTCTGTTGTTTTCTGGTCAGAGGGAAACGGCAGCATATGTTTCATCTAGGCATGGAGGCATTAATTGAAGTTCCCACACTCATCCCGTCAGCCTGACGGGCCGTCCATGGCCCTCAGGCACCTTCTGTCACCCTCTGAGCATAGCAGAACTGCTGGGAAATGTTTTCACTCAGTTTGTTGTTTGCTCTCCTTTACGACCTTGATTTTCCACTGCCTCATTAATTCAGTCTCAGTTATTAAAGCGTTTGGACGTAGAGACGCCAGAGAAGAAGTCTCCTCCAGCAAGTCAGTGTTTAACTTAGATGGTCCAGTAAATTGGTATAATAACCCATGGAATTTAAGTTTTTTGCTTCAGAAAATGACATGATAATTGGATTTTAAGGATCCTTTTGTCTACAATCAGCTCTACTCTCCGTGCAGGATTCCTTTTGTGAGGGCGCTACAGGGGGATGTAGCTGCAGCACTTCAGCTGGAGAACCCATAATCGCAAGGGCAGGAAGTCTCTTGGCCACATCCTTGTTGCCAGAGTTGGTATTTAATCTTCTGATCCAGACTGCAGAGAACATATCAGTAGTGTAATCAGCACTGTAGCACTTCAGGGAAAAAAAGCACTACATCCTTTAAGCAGCAGGGAGTTCCAGACTAATGTGGCTAGTCAGCAAGGCTTTCCAATACTGGACTAAATAGAAAACATCTTTGTGTCCTGAGTTACTCTCTTTGCACATTTAGATGCAGTAGACTAAAAGGCGTTTTAACTTGACTTATATGAGAGGGCTGTATTTGTAAAACATATATAACATTACAATAGATTTACATGCGTGAGAGAAATTGACAAGAAATTAATCATCCCTGATCTGTTTACAGTTTCTCCTGACACCACATACAGCAACAGATTTATGATAGAAAATGGCTATTATTGATTCTCTGATAATGAGACAGATTGCGATGAGGGAGATAGGGACCCGAGGAGAGAGGGAAGAGTGCCACAATTCATTAACTATTCATGAGTATGGAAAGACAACTTATGGTCAATTACTGAAGTGACACTTATGTCAAGGAGTGAAGGACAAATCCAAGAGTATGGATGAGAGAGGAGAGGACAGAGAGGGAGAAGAGCGCTCGGTTTCTCATCAGTAAACACTGACACCTCTGTGCTCGCATGAATGTGTGTGTATGTGCAGACACACACGAGCGCACGCACACACAGTGAACAATCTGTCATATAGAGACAGACGTATTGATTAGACACAGATAAACAGGGGACAGACAGGCAGCGGTAGGCCATTTGCAGCTCTTGTAGTTGGACAATAATCAATTAATGGTCTTTTATTATGGGGATCATTTAATGGGGGTGGAGTGAAATGGCTTAACTTTAAGTAAAGAGGGAAACTCAAAACTTACACAACTCCAGAGACGTCTTTATTCCTCCTTTACAGTCATGATCATGGATTCTCCATGTGACAAAAAATCGCAATGTGCAACAAAATGCAATTAACGTAAAATGTGCAAGAAAACAAAGGACCTGGCCTACAAAAAGTGAAAATGAAAATTGTGATCCAAAAATGGTCATTCCCACTAACTGTATATCAAACCGCAATTGCAATATCTGATAATTGCAATATTATATTCTACTGTATATGGCAAACCAGACTGTGTGTTTTTTAACTAAATGGCTCCAATTGATTAACATTTTTTGTTTTTGTTGATCTATTATCTTAAAGAGTCAGTGTATAACATTAAGCTACTGGCAGAAATAGAATATAATATTCGTAGGTCTGGGCGCCTGGTTAGTTCAGTGGGTAGAGCTGGCCGACCCATGTACAAAGGCTGAGTCCTTGCTGCAGCAGCCCCAGGGTTCGAATCCGACCTGCCCCTTTGCTGCGTGTCATCCCCTCTCTCTGCCCCCCCTTTCCTGTCTGTCTCCAGCTGTCCTATCAAATAAAGGCATAAAAGCCAGAAAAAATAAAAAATTCCTAGGTCTGTTTTCATTAGTGTATAATCTCCAGAAAATAAGCATTGTTGTGTTTTCGTTATATATTTATTGTTCCATTGCCACTTTTATCTACTTTGCCTTCCGCCATGTTTCTACAGTAAGCCAGAAAGGACAAACTGAACACTGTTTACATTTTTAGACTATTTCACGGCCACCGTAGTTTCTCCCTCATGCTTGTAAGGAGAGAGTGAAGTGAGGAAGTTGCGATCTGTAATTACACTGCTAGATTCCACTTAATCCTAACACTGGTCCTTTAAAAACAAACAATGGGACAATTGGACTATTGAACCGTTACTTAATAAAGACACTGGTTTGCTTTTTAATAATCCTCGAATAAGCATCTAACCACAAACAATCTTACAAGAATAACTGGCAAAATTAAAATACATTTTCCTTGGACGTCCACCAGTGATCTACAGTGTACTTATGTGGACTCTAGGCAGACTTCCAACATCAAACAAATAAAGCACCCAGACTCCATTACTTGTGTATTTTAAAGGATGCCACATGAAAGATCTCTGTTTCCAGAAAACAGTATAAGATGTGTTGAGTAAATGAACTACAGACTATTCATTTGCTTGTTTTAAATATTGCCCATCATCCATGTCATGCAAAACAATTTGTCTCTGAAATCAAAATCCACCACAAGTTTGCCTCATGCAGTTTGTCAATGTCAAATGTACATACACAAACAAATGCTGGATCTGTCTATACCCACAATGCCTGATTGCCAGATAGTGCTGAAATAAAAGCAGTCTGTGTAACAGACAGGACAGATACTTTGAACTGTAAGGACATGCTGATGAATCAAATCAGTGACAAAGAACTTTCTTTTTTTCTTACAGTTTGTAAAGTAGAGAAGAAACTTAAAAACAAAGACAAATGTACAATATAAATTGATAAATCAGTAGATTGGTAATTATTAGTTTAGATTAATATACATCAAATTATTATGCACAATCTATCTCTACAATATAGCAGTATAAAATTCAGCATGTATTTTTACTGCCACATTATAGACAGCATCTCTCCTCATTGCAGCCACATGTTTAACACACTCGCTGAGCTCAGCAGCTTGCCATCCTGGTTGCACTTCCTGCAGACTTTGGTCTGTTTGGGTCCTTGTAGGAACCCGTAGGGGAGGTAAGGGGGGGGGGCACTTGCAGGAAGAAAGGCAGGAGGGGGGATCTATAAGAAATTGCTGTTAAGTGGTTCTTGAGGCTTTGTGGTTTTGACTCATCAGGCCCATAGTGAGTGGATGGTCCTTTTGTACAGGCCTTACAGTGAGACTCAGATGGGCTGTCTGGGGCCCTGGTACATAAACACACTACAGTAGATGGAGCTTTAATCACACAGATTCTGGGGTGCTTTAATGTTTAGTGTATATAATGTGTTTATGTTATCTCTTGATGTTCTTTTCACTGAAGCCAGTATATTAGAATTTGTACCCCACATGTGATTAAATTGCAGAGTGGGACGATAGATCAGACCTGGGCTCGCTTTAAAGTTACACTGGTTGAAGATTGAACTTTAATGTGACAAACCATACCATACAAGCTGTACTGTACTGCAATTTTACAAAATGTAAAGCGATAATGCCACTGTCAGTTTTTTAAAGCTGTATTAATCACTATTTTGATATTAAGAATTGGTCAAACGCCAGTGTGTAATGTGAAAGAGGTTGCTCATAGTGATCCACAAAGAAGTGTCACTCAGCTCTGCTGTTCCTCTCAGTGTTTCAGCATCTTTTAGCGAATTGTTTTGGTTTTACGGCCCACAACTTTACTCCTAGATTAGACGGCTGCTATTTGTTTTTCCTCTATGTCTGCTGGATGTGTATAGTAATGTTGTTTGTTACCCATATCAACTTTGTATGTCCGCAGTAATATGTCACTGTTGTGTTTACAGCTTGTTCAGCTCCCCCAAGTGGCCCAAAAAAAACTGAATTCTGTGTCTGACCAGTTTCTTCTTTTTACTTAGAAACCTGATGCCTCGGACGCTGGATGGCCAGATCACCATGGAGAAGACCCCCAGCTACTTTGTCACAAAGGAAGCTCCTGGCCGTGTCTGCACAATGAACTGCCAAGCCAAGCTCATTGTGGTGGTCAGGGATCCTGTGACGCGGGCTGTATCTGACTACACCCAGACCCTGTCCAAGAACCCAGGCCTTCCATCCTTCCAGAGCCTGGCATTGAAAAACGCCTCCACAGGTCTGATCGACACCACGTGGAGTGCGGTGCGCATCGGCCTCTACGCCAAACATCTGGAGAACTGGCTTCAGCACTTCCCCTTGTCTCATTTTCTGTTTGTTAGTGGTGAGCGGCTGGTGTCTGATCCGGCTGGGGAGATGGGTCGGGTTCAGGACTTTCTGGGTCTAAAAAGGGTTGTTTCAGACAAACACTTCTACTTCAACCAGACCAAAGGTTTTCCCTGCCTGAAGAAGCCTGAGGGAAGCAGCAGACCACGCTGCCTTGGAAAGTCCAAGGGCAGACCCCATCCCCAGATCCCCACAGAGGTGCTGCAGAGGCTCAGAGACTTCTACAGGCCCTTCAACCACCGTTTCTACCAGATGAGTGGACAAGACTTCGGCTGGGACTAACAGAGGAGATTCCTGTCACAGCCCAGATAAAAGCCAGTCTCTTACTTTATGAAGTGACTGACAGTTTAATGCTCCACAGGGCTGATGTTCTCAGGGACGGGGTAGAGAAACTCTCCACAAACTGAATTCTGCCTCAGTGGAATAAACATGACATGCAGCACACAAACTGTCACTATTTTGTTGTAGAGTAGAAGCCGCCATGGACACAGTGCTGCCAATATGTAAGTTACGAACATAGTTAATGGCTTAGTTATTAAACCATTTTCTTGCTTGTATGTTAATGTTATTGCCATGTGGAAGTTAGAAGCAAACTAGGTACCAAAGGGAAAGCAAACATTGCTTTTGAATATAATTTTTGCCTTTTTTTTATGTTTTGTTCATAAAATAAGCTGATATTTATATTTTCTGTTGATTTGAAATACAACAGTTACAGATTTCTTTTATAAAAGAAATGTATTTATTACATGACAAGGTAAGACATAAAAGTGACTACACTTTCATTGACAGGACATTGGGAAAAAAATGTCATACTCCATGATGAACCACTAATTCTTTTGAATTATCAGCAGTGTTACTTTGACTGCATGTGTATTTTTTATTACATTTACTGTTTCCAAATGCTCTTTAAAATGCTACAGATCTGATATTGATGTTGCAGGACATTTCACAGTACAGTTGCAGTTGATATACCAATGATACCTCATCTGTAAATAATAAATGTGTAACAATGATCAGAAAACATGCATACAAACATTCCATTTGTAGGTATTTGTAGATATTTTTCCCTTCAAAGCTACATCACTATTTTAATGGCCTTGGACAGAACCAGCTGTAGTCTATCCGCTGTTATTCAATTAAAATAATTAATTAATTCTGACTCTGACTTTTTGGGTTGTGAAGTTTTATCTGACATGGCATCCAGAGTAGGTACAATGTTTTATCTTTTTTTCCTTTCATGTGTTACTGTAAGTTATCAAGCAAACTGAGGATGTTTCTATAAATACTGCTAGAAGAATGATATATATTTGGCCCACAAGTGAATCGTAATCCAACAAATGTAATAAATGTAGCTGAAACCTATGCCTATTCTAATCTCTATTTTTGGAGGGATCAGCCACTGTTGGCTAAACCCCTCCTCTGGACAGCATTTTACACTCATAGCTTAGCAACCGAAAGCATGGCAGGCCTGTCAAGCTTTGGATTTTCCACACGTTGAAGCGGTGTGCATGGGGCTAGTAAGAGAGATACTCCCTCTCTAAAGAATTTGGCAGGTGGTGACCCTTTCTGCAACTGAAACACATGAACAGAAGTGTAAGAAACTGTATGAAACTGTGGTTAGCATGTCCCCAAACTTGCTACCTAAGTCCAAGTAGCACATCATTAAATAACTAGGTGACATTAGTTTGAGTTTGAGTTATGATGGAAAAAAAAGGTTTTCTTCTTCACTCTTACAAACATGGCTACATATAGCACTACAGTGGTAAAAAAAAACCCCGTTAAGATTGCATCCTAAATTATATTGTACCCTAATTAAACAATATATGCCAAACAAATCACGACCACCGTTAGCTGACTTTGCCCCGGGGTGCCAGGAGCCAAAAACTGGCAAAAAACACCCCAATACGCGATTCCCTGTTGTCAAACTGGCCTCCATCGTCCCAGTCTGGCTATGCTGTTTGCCTTTGAGTTTCCAGTCCCGGTAGAGTCAGCTAATAGGTCCACTACAGGGGGACGTAAAACACAGCACTAGGGGTTACCACAGCAAGTCCTAGCTGTCTACAGGAAATACATAAACACGTCAGAGCAAAAATTACTCTGATTTCCATTTCATGTGTGCTTCAACAAATAGGCTACTGTTAAGAAATATGTAAGCTAGACAGCCAAATAGAGTTTTCTTTAAATACAAGGACTAACTAGCTCTACACTCCAATACAAGAACAAAGCTGTTTCTTTATTTTCATGTTTTCTACGTGGATCATCAATCGTTGAGGATACTGACCTTAGATGTGGCCATGTACACTTAGGACCAATTTTACAATGTTCTCATTTTCACATGAATAAGCTGCAAACATTAAAAAGTCACTCGTTGTTTCAGCCCAAAAAATATAAACATTCACCAGCTAGAAAGTACCTCTGTTGTACCCATTGACAGTATACATACATTGCAGTACAGTACCAATGTTTTAGAACGCTACCTAGTTACTTGCCACAGTAAATAGTGGTGTTCTAGAATAGAACGCGTAACAGGCGTAGCAACAGTAACTAAGGAGGACAAGCTTTGTGAATGGTCAGTTCTTCCATGACAGTTCAGCCAAAGTAAAAATGTCTCTCTGTCCGTCCTTGTCTAAGCTGTTCCTCACTCCTTTATTTATGCTATAAAAACATTTTCTCCCTTAACTTTTATTTTTTCACTAGAGAGAACTCTCACTCCATCTCTTCCCTCTCTTCCTCAGTCTACTCTCACACAGCTTCTCCCTCTCACCACTTCCACACAGTGAGACCACATGTACAGTCTGAGGCCTGCGTGCGCTGTGGCCTTTAATTATGAAAGATGTCAGCTCACTCAGAAAAGCCCCCTCCTTCCTCTTTGGGCTCAGAATTAGTAGCAGAACTCTTCTCTTGTATGGTACACTATCCTGTATTGAAGAAAAAAAAACCGAAAAACATCTGCTTTGGTGGAACAAACAGAAAAGGAACCCACTTAAGATCTGAAATATACACTGCAGATGTATTTTTTTTAACAATGCATGGAAATATGCCTGACCAGCATTTGCATCCACTGATTGAACCAAAAATTCTCAATCAAATCAATTAACACTGAGCTTTGTTTGTGGAAACGTCAGGCTGCTTACATTAGCATGCTAGTGTGTGTATTCGTGCAAACTTGCATGCACACACGCCCAATGCTTTGGCTCTCCCCAAACATCTTGCTTTCTCCAATTCCTGTCAGTATTTCTGTCACATTCCCCCTCTGTTTTATACGTCTGGCATTAGTTTTTAGTGGGCCTCGCTAAAATTTAAATGTGCTTGGCTCACTTCATCCATGCCAGCTTTTATTACTCTGTATTACCAGTCGTAGTGATAGCTGCATTTTCGCTCTGCCAGCCCAGCAGCAGGCATTAAAGATAACTGATTTCCCATTCTGACATCTGAAAAAGACATTAGTGCCAGTGTTCGCAGGACTAGCCCAGTCGTTAAGTTTCATTAAATCAGCAGGACGTTCGGCATAATCTACAGTTGCCACTAAACATTGTTAATGATGTGAGAAATCCAATTGAGGTGAAGGAAGAAAAGACCAAGAAAAACTGAGAAATAATTGAGAATACATTCCCGAAAAAGCAAGGTTTGAAGATCGTGTTCATGAAAATGATCTGCTGTGTATTTAATAAATCATCTGTGATCCAAGCAAACAAGTCTTCAAGTATGGCCTCTGGTCTGTGTTTGTACATATCACTCTGTATGAGCTCATGGACAGCCGATCTCCACTTGTGGCTGCCACAAAAATCTGTAGACACCACCAGCATTTAGTCATTTTTTATGACTCTGTCATCAGTATTTTAGGTGTATGGCAATTCAGAAAGATTCACGCTTTGATTCTTCAATAAACTTTGGTTGTGTCACATTTCCAGACATTCGGTTTTACATTTCCATTATAAATTATATTTGAGGATTAAACTTTATACTAGTATACTATTTTAGACAAATAAAACAATAATTGTTGCTTTCTTAGCTAATATACAGCAATTAATATCAAAAAGACAGTTTTTGCAATATCATTAAAATAAGAATGCTTAAACAAAACACATGAGCCTTCAATTGATACGATATGATATCTTTTTACATTTTGGACTGTTCATAAACCCAGAAAAATTACAATTAAAGGACAAAGCTGGCATTAAAAATGCTGCTTATTGTCAACAAACCACATGAAAAGACCAAAAATATCACAGTCCCTCTCTCAAAACAGTTAAAGTTCCCTACAATGTCTGTGTCTGACTCATTTAAAGACATGTATGTGGGATGACTCAAAATAAAATATTATATCTGTGTTCATTGGAATGAAGGAATATGTCAGTGGGATTTATCTGGCCCAGAGGAATAAGACATGTTGGGCTTTGGTCACTCAATCAGTACTGGTAGCATCAAATTGTTGATTTAGTCTCTGGCTTGTTGACAATGATGGAGAAAAAAGTACACACTTCCAAAAAAAATCTTCATGGATCAAGCAGGAGATATCATGACAAAAATTCAATGCTTTTTCACATTGAGGCCCGTTGAGTATTTAAGCCAAAGCCTGGCTGCAACCGTTTGAAGTCAAAACGAGATGTCAGATTCACACCAAAGATAGATATTAGAAAGACAATATATTTTTCTCTAAATTTGTTTGAAATACAATATATTCTGGATTACAATAGCTCAAAACAACTAAAGGCAAAGGCAATAAATAATATGTCCATAAAACTGCAAATCTTAATTTGTTTAGCTTTGGCTGGCATGCAGCTTCCAAAGATTTCTTCCCACAGTTTAATGCGTGCCATCAATTCCTACCACTGTGGATTTGTTTGCATGAGTGAAAATCACCCAATGTGGATTGAGTTACAGGCCACTGTGACTATTTGAGATTAGGCGTGATGAGGGATGTATATTTTGTGCGGTGTCTCTTATTTGGGAATAATGGGCACATGGCAGACTAATCAGAAACACTCAGAGGGAGGGATGAACCACTCTGAAGGCTGCGTTGAGGGAAAGGGGGCTGATTTCTGTGCAGCAGATAAAAAGTAGGATTAGAGTGTAAAAGTGGTTTCCCTCTGAGGAGCCACAAATGAAGACGGTTCATACTGAGGACTCCACACATTTTCCACCAGTACCGCAGTCTCCTTCGATTCAGGAAAGAAATGCTGGGGGATTTTCTCTCTTCTCTGTGGTTTAGGCCTCACAGCATCTTGTTAAATTGTGACTCCAGCTTTAATTGATGAGAGAGTAATTTGGGTTTGGGGATTTTCGAATGGTAGTAGCTCAATGCAATTTGGGGAACCTTTTTAGGGAAATGCAATTAAAAACTTTTACAATAGGATTTTATAACATTGTTTTTCTGGACATGTTTCAGTGCATGCTTCTGTTGCCATTATTGCCAACAAAATACCAGCTCCGCTCTGCTTATTGGGCCTTGATTGGAAAACTTGAACAATCAAAGTTTATAGAGTAGCTTGCACTTGATTGACGAGGTTCTAACTGAGACAGTGTTGCCAGATGGATGGAAACCTTTCACACTAAGAAATAAAACTGCATTCTTTAAATAAAAATGCAACTCTTTTGGAAATTTGCACACATCTGTATGGACAAAACGTGCTTAAATCAAACCCTGCGTTTAGTTGTGAAATCTGCAATGCGTTCCATGGTACACTGCCCACTTTTCCTTCCACCTGCATCTTCAAACAAAATGTTAACGCACTACGTACAGTCAATCACTCTGAATGAAAGAGGCTCGCACCTGGACTTCATGCATGGTTTCTTTTTATTTGCCAAATACCCCATTCATTATTCTACTAGAATGAATTACAGCCCTTAAGTTTGGCCAATAAAAAATCACAAATTGGTTCTTAATTTTCTCCACGGTGTTATTAATCCCCAACCACCCACTTCATTCAGTATGAGGCTCTTTAATTGAATGTGCTGTAATTGGGAAATGTGGGGGAAAGGTGTGTTCACTGTGAGCACTGAGATGACGTCTAAGTAACCTAACATACGTATAGTACAGACACACGGTAGCCCTTCTGCCTTTCCAAAACCAAAGTAAAAATCAATTTCCAGGTCATGTGAGTGCATGTCTTTTTGATGCGATATGTCATATGCATCCTGTTTGACTCAGAGCTTCCAATGGTTGTGTGCGTTGGTGTATTTTTTTTTTGTTTTAAGAATGGCCACACCAAAGGGCTGTGTGGAGACATACAGTGCGGCACGCAAGGCGAGCCATCACGAATGGTCATTTTCTGAACACACACACACACACACACACACACACACTGCCAAGTTATAAAACATTTTCACATGTTGGACCTTGCAATAAATCTCATGTCAAGAGCTGTTGCTTCAATACGCCAAAAAACACATCAGTGCAGTTGTAGCATTAGTGCATTTTGTAATCAAAAAGAGGCTGTTTTGTTTTCTTTGCGTTTTCAAGTGAAATTACATGGTTTTCTCTATAAAAACTAACCCAACTGTAAAAAAAAGGCTACATAATTTCCCTTCGGGATTCAGATACATGTTCAAGCCTGTATTCAAGTTGTTTTCTGTGTGAATCTGAGAGACTTGACCCGGTAACCTCCAGCATGACAGATACCTCCGCACTAAAGCTACTGATGAACTAATGGCTACTAACAGATGTTTTAACACTATCTGTAGTAATATGTTACACATATACTCATGTTCAAATGCTCACTGTATTCCATCTTGTCATTGCACAGTCCCTTTTGGGCATATGTGCTTGTAAAGCTAAGGCATCATCAAAGTGATTACAGTTCATCCTAAGCAGGGGTGTTTCCAGACTTCTTTGGCTGGGGTAGAACAAGAGGGGCACTGACATATGTAGGAGTGGCAAGAAGTATGTGTCTCAGCTTTCCAGTCATTGTCAATTTATGCAATTCAGATAGCAATATCAATATGTAGAAATATTTAAATACACTAGGTGAAAATAACACATTTATACCACATATACCACAAAAACTGCATGATATTAGCATTAAGTGGCAATCTCTGCAAAGGGAGAATGTGTAGGTACAAATAGAATCTATTTTCATTCAGCTATCTTGAGGTCAGAGGTCAAGGGACCCTTTGAAAATGGTGCCAGTTTTTCCTCATCACCAAAATGTAGCCTAATTTTGGAGCGTTATTTAGCCCCTCCCAGACATGCTAGCATGGATGTGTTATATAGTTTAATATGATACCAGTATCTTCACTCTAGCTTTAAAAAGGAGCCGGCTACAGCCTCTGAAAGACAGTGCGGAGTGGAAGAGGTACTGATAATAGGGTGACATTTGGGGTGGAAAATCAGATTTCAGTGACTACCCCAGGCCCCCCTCTGGAAACGCCCCTGATCGTGAGGGTGACATAAATGTGTTTACCACACGGCAATCCAATCAATTAGTAGTTGAGACATTTCACTCAAAGCTACAAATGTCAACCACATTGTGGCACCAAAGGAAAAGTCGGGGGATCACCAAAGTCAGTAGGATTTGTCATCTGGGAACCATGAATATCTGAACCAAATTTTGTGCCAGTCTATTCAATAGTTGGTGTTCATATTCCAGTTGTGGACCAACCGACAAAGACACTAAAAATGTAGATAGATAGATAGATTATAGATAGATTCTTTATTATCCTTTCCAGGAAATGTGTTGCCACAGTCTTTACATACATAAATACATACACAACATAACCACAGGAGAGACATCCAAACAGCACATTTATACATACCCTCCATTCACATGATATGTGCATATGACAGGTGCTTTGTTTATCAGTGCTATGGCAGAAGGCCATATCCTTATGCCACTTTTTTTGCTCAGTATTAGATTGCATTTGTTTACAAAAGATTTCCCTCAAATCTCTACTGTTTGGCTCAGTTACAGCTTGGCTCGATTTCATGTCATAGGTGACGTCACTGTTGGTGTGCATTAGATCGGAAGACTGTGGTCTCCACGTAATCCCCTCTCTGTTGAAAGCGTCAAATATACCCTCCCAGACTCCTGCTCGATGACAACATACCGCTTCATGTGGTGAATGCTAAACCAGAGCTGAGCTCGAGCTTTGAAGCCATTGTTAAAACCTGTGAGGGTGTAATACCTTTAGTCACACAGGGACAATGAATAGTATGATTCATATCTCATAAAAGACGACACCTGCGCTCACATGCTATACTGCGCACTGCTGTTCTAACGTGGTGAGGAAAAAAAACAGGCCACGACTACATTTCCCAGATCCCAAATCTAATTGAATCTGTCATAACTGCTCTAATGATGGACGTGTATAACCCCAGAGTTCCCCTAGGGGCCCAGGGCTTGGGTCCTGTGAGTCTTGGAGATAACATGCCCCACAGGTGTGGGGAGATGATGTACACAGACTCGGGTTACAGCAGACTGGCTTGGGACAGGTTGATGGAGGCTCTGATTGATCCTGAAAATAGAGAAGCCTGTGGGAGAATTGTAATTGAACCTGGAACAGATGTTAAACAGTCCAGGAAGAATGTGGTTATGATGAAGGTACACAGCCTGAAAGTCAAAATTACACTAGTTACACTTTATTAAATGGTATTGGCAAGGTTGTGTCATTTTGGTGTATTTGATTGTTAACTAACTCTATGACGTACAGGGAAGGGGACAACAGAGTTCACTGCATTTCCAAAAATGTATCCATATGGTAGTTTGCAGCAGAAACGTGGTCCATCAACCGTTCTGAAGAAAACATGTCTCTGCTAATACAACAAGCAGGAAAATGTGTTCCAAATTTAAGAATAACCACAGGTAGCCGCAGTGCCAAACCCTCAGTCCTCTAAACTTGAACTCATCCGGGATAAACTCGATTTCTCATTAAAGCTTCTGGCTGTGCTGCTTAATGTGACGGTAGAAAATATCCTCCGGTGTGAGTCGTCTTTTAGTACACCAGCTAGAAAAAATACACTAATGCGTGTGGTGTGAAAAGTTCAAAATGCTTTAGATGTTGGTCTTTTACACCACTCCTACTCAATCTTTCTGGTGTCAAGGACCCCCAAACTGATACATTGCAGACCCGTATTTGCTAAGATGTAGTCTCAGAGATCCCCATCTGATACAATTTTAGTTATTCAATAACTGTCTATACTGTAGATTGGCAGATTAACAGTGATGCTACCTGTGAAGAGACTAAATACTAAAATATTACCCACTTTTCTGGGGACCCCCTGGAACCCACTCAATGAGAGAACCAGTTTTACATTCTTATTAGTATACTATCATTATAATAATCTTTACTTCTATAACAATATTACAACATTCTGGGTATCACTGATGGTATTTTATGTTAATTTTACTCCATCTTAAAATATGAATTTATTGCTTTTGGCAAACATAGCTGTGGGTTATAACTAAGTATATTTACTAAAGTACTACACTTAACTATCATTTTTAGATAGCTGTTATATTATTAATAGAAAATATAATTATCAATAAATTATCATGTATTAGCTGCAGCATTAAAGTTCTACACATTAATGCAGCACTTATTATAATAAAATAATATGTGTTCTGAAATGGGTCATCCTGCGTAAAAGGGACTCCTACTTTTAAATGTTTAAGTGTTTAAAGTTTATGTATTAGTACTACTTGTACGTAAACTTTTTAATGTTTTTTACACTTTATGTTTACACTGTAATAAAGGATCACAGTATTTCTTCCACTATGGAAGGACTTTAACCTATATAAAGGTTTAAATTCCCAGTTATAATATTAAACTGTTTACACTCTCACACATTAACGATCATAATTACCTAATAATGTTATATATAATAATATAACACTGACAAGGGCCATTCTGTCTCCCATAATAACTACCTTTAACTTTTTGTGATAATACATTCATATGTGCAGGACATTTACTGGTAATAAAATATCTTTACAACATATAATGGCATATTTTATTTGAGAACAAGTTCCTTATATGTCTTGTACCGCTGATGATCTGTAACTAAGACAGCGACAATGGTTATCCAATACAGATCAATGTAATCAAACTACTTTGTAAACTCATTCTGAAATACTGTACAAGGCAATATAAAATGAATCACAGAAATGGTCTTGGTGGCACAGGACTGCCACCTGCTGATCCACACAGATATTAAAAATGTATTTAAAATATTTATTTTCATTCTTCCAGTAAATCTCTTCATGAATATTTTCCTTTTGCCTCGTTTAGTGTCTTTTATTCCCACTACTGGTCTTGTCTGTCTACTCTGAAGCTCATGGTGACAACGTCCTCGATGCCGGCCTGCAGCTCGTCGTGCTCCTGCACGGCGGAGACTCCTTTAGGGGTCCCGGTCAGGATGAGATCCCCCTCCTCCAGCGTGATGAAGTCGCTGATGTAGCTGATGAGATAGGGGATGGAGAAAATCATCTGGGAGGTGCAGCCGCTCTGCCGCAGCTGGTCGTTCACCTTCAGCCACAGCTTCACGCTCCCCGGGTCAGGGATGCGCTCTTTGGGGATGAACTCACTGACCGGGCAGGAGGTGTTGAAAGCTTTGGCCATGGTCCAGGGAAGACCCTTGGACTTGCACTCGTCCTGGATGTCCCGGGCTGTCATGTCCAAGCACAAAGCGTATCCGGCTACATGCTCCATGGCTGCGGCCTGAGGGATGGCTGTGCCCCCTTTCCCGATGACCACCCCTAACTCCACCTCATGGTGCAGGTTAGTGGAGTACAAGGGCACCAGGATGGGTGAGCCCTCTCTTATATATGCAGAAGGGGGCTTCAGGAACAGGATGGGCTCGGTAGGAATCGCATTTTTCAGCTCCTTGGCGTGGTCCGCGTAGTTTCTCCCGACGCAAATGATCTTCCTCCCCCATTCCCAGAAGCGGGATATATTTCGTGCTGTCATTGCGGAGAAACGTGAAGGTTTGCGCCGCTCCGAAGCAGTCGGGACCGGGTTGAGTAAACTTTGACCGTCCCTCAGTGTGCTGACGGCAGACTGCTAACCTACGGCAAGCCTGAAAGGACATACAGAGAATTCTAAAAAATCAAATAAAACCTATTAAATCGATGTTTTTGAGCAGTTTATCAGGACCAAATGGTTAAAAAAAATCCCTCACACATTCCCATATGTCTATATTGTGTGTTAAAATGCCTATAAAACCAATTATTTCACGTGTTTAGCCGGTTATTCACGATCCACTCCCCAAGATTTGATTGGTGGAGCCTGGGGAGGTGAAAGTTGAAGCGGAACTGAAGCGAGAACCAAACTTTTCTGGTTTATACTAATGTGATAAGGATATAGCTGCTGTTGTAATGTTATTCAAGTCCCTCGTAGGGAGTGCCTGCACTCTGCTCGGAGCTGCAACAGCCTTCAAATTTGGTTCGAGTCTTTTTTTTATTTGTATTTTTTTTTCAGCATGCAGACATTCCTAGCTAGCATATTAGCTCGTGTACGTGTATTTTAACTAGTTAAGGATGGCTAACAGGGTTTGTTTGTTTGTTTTCTTGTATCGTGTCTTGGGAGGAGGTAGATGAACACAGCTGGCCTGTCTGAGCAAACGTCTCCACCTTATTGCTTAATGTCCTACGGGACAGCCAAAGTTAGGTTACCGCTGTAGCAGCTAGCTAGAGGACAGAATTGAAAATGTTGTTGTTGTTGTTTGTTTTTAAAGGTAGCATTGAAGCTAACGTTGTTTACTTTTATGGTGGTGTCGCATTAGCTTACAGGGTGACTACCTACCCAGCCACTGGCTACTGTATAATGACATTACTTTACTGGTATTTAGAGGAAATGTTTTTTTTTTTTAACAATTAACTGAGAGTGTCTGTAAAATATTGACTTTTTAATCCTCTCATGTAGCACCTGTGGAAGTCAAGGCTCAAGCAGCTGCTCTCCTTCACAGCACAGTGAGGAAGTCATTTCTGGTGGAACAAGCCAATATGAGGGTTGAACTCCTGCCAGCACTCAGTGACAACTACATGTACCTGCTGATTGACCCGGACTCCAGAGAAGCAGCTAT